GGGATTCTCTGCTGCAACACCGCCTACACATTTCTGCTTGGCAATACCCTAGGCAAGGCCATCTGAAGTGACTCCACCCCATGATAGATCTCTTCCTGGGTCCCCAGGCTTTTCCATACATCTGTTGAAACTGGGGTGGAGGCTCCCAAGCCTTCATAGCTCTGGCATTCTGTGAGTCTCCAGAGTTAACACCATGTGGACACTGCTAAGGCTTCCAGCTTGTATCTTCCAGCTTGTTGCAGGTCCATCCACACCTGGGGCAAATTTAGCGACAGCTGGAGCAGCCAAAGCATCCAGGGTGCTGGTGTGGGGAGCAGCTTCCTGAGGTGGGCCTGGGCAGTGAGCCTGTGCATGGTGTCTCAGGCCTGTTCCCCAAGACCATTCTGGCTCCCTAGGCTTGTGGGCCTGTGATGGAAGGGCTGGCCCCAGATACTTGTGCAATGCCTTCAAGGCCTTTTTTTCCTCCTCTTGCTAATCCTTTTCTTTTGTACTAATCTCCTTAGCAAATGGTCGCTGGGCTGCACCACTACATTTTTTCTCCTGAAAATGCTCTCTGCTTCCCTACCACATGGCAGGGCTATACATCTTCTAATTCTTTACATTTTGCTTCCCTTTTAAATTATACATTCTGACTTTATGTCATGCCTTTTCCGCCATAACTCAGCATAGGCTGTTCCAAGTAGCCATGCAGCTTCCTGAATGTTTTGCTTCTTAGAAATTTCTTCCACCAAACACCCTGGGTGAGCACCTTGAAGTTCCACATTCCATAAAAGTTTGGGGCATGAACAGAATGCAGCCAAGTTCTTTGTAAGTTTATAGCAAGGGTGATCTTTGCTCCAGTTTTCAATAAGCTCCTTCTTATTTCTGTCTGAGACTTCCTTAGGATGGTCTTTACTGTCCATATTTCTTTCAGCATTCTGGTCGCCATGATCCAGCCAGTCTCTAGGCCATTGCAAACTTTCTCTTATCTTCTAAACTTTCACCAGTATCTAGGTTTTTCCTAGGCTGCTCCTTCAAATTCTTCCAGCTGCTGCTCAACACCCAGCTCCAAAGCCACTCCCACACTTTCAAATATTCGTTATAAGCAATGCCCTGCTCCTGTACCAATTTTATGTATTAGTCACTTTCTGTTGCTTATAGCAAAATACCTGGAACTGGGTAATTTATAAGATTATAAAACTTATTGCTTACAGTTTTTGAGGCTGGGAAGTCCAGAGTCCAGGGAACACATCTGGTAAAGGCCTTGGTGGTGACAGTGACCCAGGGGTCTCACATGGCAGAATGGCAGAGCGGAGAGAGAGATAGCTCCTCATGCATTCTCCTTTTAAGGTCCTCAGAACCACACCTACAACCACCGTTAAGCCATTCACTATAGCAGGGTCCTCACAATCTAATCACCTCTGCAAGGCTCCACCTTTCAATGATCATAGTAGGATTTTCCACCCTCAACAGTTACAGTGGGGATTAGGCTTCAGTGACTTTAGGGGGCTGTTCAATCCACCACACACCTGCATCAGCATAGGGGTGTGTGGTGGATTGTCACCCTTATGACCAGCTGACATAAGAAGAAAAAGGACAGGCAAAGTTCACAGATGGTTGGTACAAATGAAAAGCAGATTGCTGCAGCACTGCAGCTCCCTCAGGGGTGTCCCCACAAGACAGCATAGCATGCAGGGGAAATGCTCCAGTGGGCAGCACTCTTCCGGGTGCCACTAGTCATCACCTTTGTGTTGAAAGTGAAATAGCCCAAGGTAAACATCTCTAAGGGCTCACGGTAAAGACAGATGGCCTAGCTGGTTGGACAGGGGCCTGAGAGGGAAAAGTTGAAAAATATAGAATAAGGAATTTTGGGAAAGAAACATGTGAATTTACTTTTGCATGGATACAAAGCATGAAGATCTTTGTATTGCATGTTAACGCCCTCAAGTAAGTGTCCACTCCAGAAGAGGCACTACACAAACAGGTAGACAAAACAACTCAGCTGTTAAGATCAGCCAGTCTATTATCGACCACCACAGTACTGGCACAATGGATTCATGAACCGAATAGATATGTGGGCAGAGATGGCAGCTATGCACTGGCCTAACAGTATGGGCTCCCATTCACCACAGCTCATATTAGCTATTGGTGCCAAATGTCCAACCCATCACCAATTGAAATAAATGCTATCCCCTGATACACCATCATCCCTCAAGGAGACCAACCAGCCATCTGGTGGCAAGTTGACTATATTGGATGCCTTCATTCTTGGAAGAGGCAGTAATTCAGCTTGACTGGGATCAACACATATTTCAGATACAGATTTGCATTTATTGCCCACTGGGCCATGGCCAGTCTCACTATCTGAAAATTTATAGTGTTTGATCCATTAACCCAGAATGCTGTGCAACACTGCATCAGAACAAAGGGCTCACTGTATTGCAAAGGAGATGCAGCTGTCAACCTATGATCCATTCATCCTAACACATTTTCCACCATCCAGACACTTCCAACCTGACAGACGGATGAAATAGCCTCTTAGATGTGCATAGCTGAGGCAACAGCTTGAAAATGTTACCTTGGAAGGATGGGGAGTCATTCTGATACACAGTGAATCAGTAACTATGATATGGGATGTCCCACTACATAGAGTAATTGGGAGCCAAGGGCTGGAAGTGGAAATTGCCTCACTTACAGTTACTCCTCCTAGTGACCTGCTTGGGGAATTTGTGTTTCCTGATCCAACAACTTGAGGCTATCCAATTCTAGAGGTCCTGGCTTCTAGAATATAATTGTTTTCATCTCAGCACACAGAA